TGGTCAAACAATAATACCTGACATTTGTGGAATACTCTCACTCATCTCATGTGACCCTGAGAATACTCATAGTCGTGTTTCCAAGTTTTACATTTAGGGAAACGGAGGCCCAGAAAAGTTAATCTGGCGGAGGCGTGACATCTGGTTTGCAAATCGGGCTCAGACTCAAGTCTTTTGACTCATAATCTAATCATCTGCTATGTGAAGTTACTCAAATGCTCTTGAGCGTTCCAATGAGAGATTTTAAAATTAAAATCCTATTTGACGGCTTTCACTATTGTGCTTGTCAGATTCTATCAAGAACCAAAACAGGGCTGGGGTTGTAGCTCAGTGGTAGAGCGTTTGCCCTGCAAGCATGAGGCCCTGAGTTTGATCCTCAGCACCACATAAAAAAGTAAATAAAGATATTGTGTACATCTACAACTAAAAAATGTTTTTTTAAAAAAAAAAAGGAAAGGAAATTCTCTTCATGGAGGAATAAATTCAAAGATCTATTGTATAAAATAGTGACTAAAACTAATAGCAAAGTGTTTTATTTTGAAATACTTGAATAGATTTTAAGTGTTCTTATAATAAAAAAAAAATAAAAATGTGGGTCTGGGCAGGCAGCTATTGGTTGAGTACATGCTTAGTATGTAAAAGGCCCTAAATTCAATATCTAGCATAGAAAAACAAATCATTCAAAATTTACAACAAATGAATTCAGAGATTAGGTTATAGAGAATACTGTGGATTCTTGCCTCCTTTCCTTCCTGAGTTATTCAATCTAGGGGAAGCAGTTACTTTGTAAAAACATATAAGTAGCCTATGGAGAGGAACTGAGGCTTCCTAGCCAGAAGGCATGCAGGTGCACCATCTCAGAACGTCATCTTCCAATCCTAGTCAAGTCCCAAGATGACAAGCCCACATGGGAGACTGAGCCCAACCACAAAGGTAAGTCACTGCCAAATTTCTGAACTACAAAATCTCTGGGATGCCGCAGTCCAGCTGTAGCAAAATAACCGGGGGGTGACGAACAACTTGTGTACATTGATACAGCAGGAGTGGGAGCCATTTATTGTAGGACAACAGAGGTATTTATGCATTCCACACAGCTTATCTTAATTAACATAAACTAGATACAGCAGTCAACCAATAAGGAATCTCCACAGTTCATGGCTCGCTGGCGTTACTTCACAAACCACTCCCTCTGGCAAAATGCCAGGCGCCATCCAGACTTGTTTACAGACTCTAACATTTGCCAGGCGCCATTCTGACTTGTTGACAAGACTCTAACACTAGGATAACAAATGTTTGTAATTTTAAGTCAAGTGCACCAGCCCATGCCTATAGTCCCAGCTACTCATGAAGCTGAAACAGGAGGATCACTAGAGCCCTGGAGTTTAGAGCCACACTAGGCAACATGGACCAGACCCTGTCTATTCCCACCTCCTCACTTTACCAAGTTGTACCCCTAGACCCTTTTTATGTTGAGATAGGGTCTCACTAACTTGCTGAGACTAGCCTGCAACTTGCCATCTGCCTACTTCTAGGATTATAGGAATGCAACACAATGCTGCACAAGGGCAGGTATCTCAAATTAAATAAATGAACAAACATTATTATATATTTATATTTTCCCTTCCTTGCAGTGGTAGGGATCAAACCCAGGGACTGACACATGCTAGGCAAGCACTTTATCACCAAGCTACACCCCCAGGCAACATTTGTCATTTTAAGTCACTATAATGGCAAACATCTTTTTTTGGTACTGGGGATTAAACCCAGGGGTTCTTTACCATTGAGCTACATCCCTAGCCCTTTCAATTTTAAATTTTAAGACAAGGTTTCACTTAGTTGCTTAGGGCCTTGCTAAGTTGCTGAGGTTGGCCTCAATAATGTAATCCTCCTACCTTAACCTCCAAAGTTGCTAGGATTACAGGTATGCACCACTATGCCCAGTAAGTCACTAAATTTTGACAAATTTATTTCATGGAAACAGATGATCAATATAATAATATGTCACCATGCACAGTCCAGGGTGTGACAAGAAAGTCAGAAATTTGCAATGTATAATGACAAATAAGGAGCTAAGTGAAATTTCATTAATTTAGTCAAAATTTTATTAAATCTATCCATATTCCTTTTTTTTAGAGGAATACCAGTGATTGAACCCAGGAGCAGAGGAGCACTTAATCACTAAACCAAATCCCCATCCTTTTTTATTTTTTATTTTGACACAGGGTCTCTGACAGCAGCTAATGAATCAGTTGTACACATGTACCAAACATTATAAATTATGAGCCTAATACTTCCTGTTGTACAACTTTGAGAACTCTTCCAACTTGCAACAAGGTACCACTACAGGAGTCTACATTTTAGGTTACATTAATTCATTCAAATAGTCTAATTACCAAAACCTAGATTGTAGGAAAGAAGCTATATAATATAAAGTTGTACCTACAGTTCTTCTCACAATTACTTACATTTCTTTCAAATGCTTTATTTCCTGAACAATTTGACAAGAAAGTTCTTGCAGGTTTTCAGGGGTGAAGCTCTTACTACTTATCGCTTTTTGAAACACTTCATGGAGAATGGTACCAATCAGCATTTGGCGTGTGGCTGGATTAGAACTCTATGAAAACAAATCACACAATTTAGTCCATACATTAAGAGACAAGACTGTATATTGTATAGGCACCATAGCCAAAATGTACCACCAAGACAAATACCAAAAGATTATTAAACAATATTTTTGTGGTTCGTGAAATTATAAGTAACACTTCCTTCTATTCAGAATTATCAATTATTGTATAAGTCTGGGTTACTCTAAAATATTTCCATTTTAAAAAATAATAAAATTGATATAAAAAAAGCTCAATATATGGGCTGAGGCTGTAGCTCAGTGGCAGAGTGCTTGCCTTGTACATGTGAGGCACTGGGTTCAATCCTTAGCACCACATAAAAATAAATGAAAGAAAGACATGCTGTCCATCTACAACTATAAAAAAAAAATTTTTTTAAAAACCCTCAACATATTTTCAAACATTTAATGTTTTATAAGTATTCTCGAATTTCACTTTATAATCCACTCAAATAGAAAACTAAATAAAAGCACAGCTCATAAACGTGTGGACATAAAAGATACTATTCATAGGCTGGGGTTGCTCAGAGGCAGAGCACTCACCTAGCAAGTTGGAGGCCCTGGGTTCAATCCTCAGCACCACATAAAAATAAATAAATAAAATAAAAGTATTGTATCCAACTACAACTAAGAAGTAAATATTTAAAAAAAAAAAGAGGGGGGGGGGGGGCTGGGGATGTGGCTCAAGCGGTAGCGTGCTCGCCTGGCATGCGGGCGGCCCGGGTTCAATCCTCAGCACCACATACAAACAAAGATATTGTGTCCACCAATAATTAAAAAAATAAAATAAATATTAAAAAAAAAAGATACAATTCAACTAAAATTTAAACCTACGATAAAAGACAGTTTCAAGGGCTGGGATTGTGGCTCGGCGGTAGAGCGCTCGCCTAACACGAGCAGGACCTGGGTTCAATCCTCAGCACCACATAAAAATAAAGGCATTGTGTTGTGTCCATCTACACCTAAAAAATAAATATTAAAAAACAAATAAAAATAGAGACAGTTTCGAAGAAAAGTTATTTCAAGGGCTGGGGTTGTGGCTTAGTGGTAGAGCACTTGCCTACTATGCTTGAGACCCTGGGTTTGATCCTCAGTGTCACATAAAAATAAATAAAAATAAAGGCATTGTGTCCATCTACAACTAAAAATATTTTTTACAAAAAAAAAGTATTTCAAAAGAAACAATATTTTATTTCTTTTTTTTTTAAAGAGAGAGAGAGGGCTGGGGATGTGGCTCAAGCGGTGGCGCGCTCGCCTGGTATGCGTGCGGCCCGGGTTCGATCCTCAGCACCACATACCAACAAAGATGTTGTGTCCGCTGATAACTAAAAAAAATAAATATTAAAAATTCTCTCTCTCTCTCTCCTCTCTTTTATAAGGCTCAACCTTTCCCTTCAAGCTACCAGAAAAAAGATAAGGCCACCAAAATATCCATCAGAAATTTAATAAATTATAAGAGAACACTCCATACTATTTTTGCAAATTCTGGGTTGTAATTATCATTACTATTGTAGTGCTGGGGATTGAACCCAGGGGCATACTACCATTGAGCCACATTCCCAGTGCTTTTTTAAAAATATTTTATTTAGAGACAGGGTCTTGCTAAGTTGCTTAGGGCCTCTCTAAGTTGCTGAGATTGGCTTCAAACTTGCAATCCTCCTGCCTCCCCAGCCTCCCATACGCTACTGCAACCAGCTCAGCAAATTTATTTCAAAATAAAAACCTTTTAAAAAACTGATATTCAGGCTGGGTATGGTGGCACAAGCCTGTAATACCAGCACTTTGGGAGGCTGAAATAGGAGGACAGTGAATTCAATGCCAGCCTCAGCAACTACGAGGCACTAAGCAACTCAGAGAGACCCTGTCTCTAAATAAAATATAAAAAAGGCTGGGGATGTGGCTCAGTGGTTAAGTGCACCTGAGTTCAATCCCTCATAACAAAAAATAGTTCTCTATAAACTCTAAGATTCTGTGTAAACATCAGTTGTTAATACTATTTACCCTAAAAGTTTCACTTAGTACAGCTCTTCTCATACATCGAATACTACTGGCTATGCTTGTGCCAGAAATCAGCATGTCTGGATACAGAATCAGATATCCAAAATCTTCATCAATTATCCATGTGCCAGATTTGCAATCTCCTTCCAAATGAATGATATCCCCTGGCTCTACTGGTACAGAACACCTAAAAGTAAAGGAAAGTTAAGTAGGTTCCTGCATTTAAAGATATTGAAGAGACTTCAAAAAACTAACAAGCACCGGATACAGTAGCGCACACTTGTAATCCCAGCAACTTGGGAGGCTGAAAAAGGAGGATCACAAGTTCAAGGTCAGCTTCAGCAACGTAGAGAAGTATTAAGCAACTTAGTGAGATCCTGTCTCAAAATTAAAAATAAAAAAGGGCTAGGAATGTGGCTCAGTAGTAAAGCATTCCTGGGCACCCCTATCCTCAGTACCAAAAGAAAAAACAACCACTATTTCAAAAGAATACTTTTTAGCAAGGTGCAGTGGCACAAGCAAGTAATCCCAGTTACTCAGGAGGCCAAAGCAGGAGGATCACAAGTTTCAAGGCCAGCCAGGGCAATTTAGCAAGACCCTCTCTCAAAATAAAAAATAAAAAGGGGCTGTGGGTCAGTGGTAGCACACTTGCCTGGCACGTGTGAGGCACTGGATTTGATTCTCAGCACCACATATAAATACATAATAAAAAAATAAATAAAGGTCTATCAACAACTTAAAAAATTAAATAAATAAAATTAAAATAAATAATTAAAAAGGGCTGGAGTGTGCCTCTATGGGTAGAGTGCATTAAGTTCAATCCTCAGTAACACTGATCACCCCCCTAAAAAAGGGAAAACAAAATAAGTATACACACACACACACACACACACACACTTCATCTGAATAAGTAATTCTAAATTTCTGAGTATCTTTAAAAATCTGAACACCAGGACACAGTCTTCTGGATAAATTCCTAGTCACTCTACCCCTTTCATAAAACATACCAGAGTGGGGGTGGTGGGGTTGTGGCTCAGTGGCAGAGCACTTGCCTTGCATGTGTGAGCACCACATAAAAATAAACAAAATAAAGATATTGTGTCCATGTACAACTAAAAATAAAAATAAAAAAAAAAAAAACAGAGAATAATCAAGGGCTTCCCTTACATCCCAAAAGAGGAACTCCAGGCATAGTGACACCTGTAATCCCATCCAACTATGGAGGCTGAGACAGGACAATCTCAAGTTTGAGGCTAACTTCAGAAATTTATCAAGGCCCTAAGCAACTTAGCAAGTCCATATCTCAAAATTTTAAAAATGGCTGGGGATATGGCTCAGAGATAAGGTCTCTCTGGGTTCAACCCCCAGTATCAAACAAAAACAACTGCTTAGTGTTAGCAAAGTCTACTGCAAAAGCTATCAAATATTTACTAGTGTAATATATAGCTCTAATTACGAATTGGGATTTTTATAACTAATCTTCTCATTCTTAAGACTTTCAGTACATCTATAGCTTCTAAAGGCTTTAGACAAAGAGCCAAAGTTAGAATAAACACTCCCAAACCTGAGAAAATACAAAATTCAAAACACTTTTTTAATCCCAAGCATTATGGATAAGGGACACTTGACCTGATCATGATTTGAAATGACAATAAAAATCAATTTTTGGAACAAGAGACTTGAGATACCTGGATAAGAGAAACAACTTTCATGTAGAATTAAGTCAGTTTCAAATCTACTCCCTTGTTAACAATAACATTATAGTAATATTCACAAAAGCATTTGATAGTGCTAGAGATATAGTTCAGTGCTAGGGCACTTGTCTAGCATGTATAATGCCCTGGGTTCAGTCCCCAACACTGAAAAAAATATGTACATATGGTACCCTTAAGACTCTGCCAAATCAGTGCTCAAAGTCAAACAAAAATTACCAGTCACTCCTAAGGATGCACTGTTCTTTATAGTCTAGGGATTGGGAAGCAGTGATGATTAGGTGTTTTTCATAGTTTCCTTCTTTATTCTGTACTGTATTGACTGCTAACACCAGGTAGCGGTTATCCATTCCGTGGCTCAGAATTGTCTTAGGAAAGGAAGCTTCCTTCTTCTTCTGAAATCTAAAGCATACACATACAAAACTATATCAGTACAACCATGACATAAGAAGTCATTCAATTTATTTTATCTGGAAGTCAATCTTTTAGTTTTCTAGGTTTATTTCTTCTGGAGAGCGAATCACAATGACCTTTGGTTAAAATAGTTAAAACTGAGCAAAGCATACTGGAAAAATTCCTATTATAAAAGCTTCCCAGAAGCCATGCCATTTAAAACATGCTTATAGGGGCTGAGTGTGCAGCTCAGTAACAACAATGCTTGCCTAGCATGCATGAGGCACTGGGTTTAAACCTCAGCACCACAAAAAATCAATAAGTAAATTTTTAAAAAGTGTTTATGATATGGCCTTTCCCAATTTAATCTCTGAGTTTTGTGGTACACTCGTCACTATGAGAATCAAGAATAAACTTGGAGTTGCGGCTCACTGGTGGAGCACTTGCCTGGCATGTGTGAGGCACTGGGTAAGGGAGGAAGGGAGGAAGGGAGGAAGGGAGGAAGGGAGGAAGGGAGGAAGGAAGGAAGGAAGGAAGGAAGGAAGGAAGGTATTGTGTCCATCTACAATTTAAAAATATTTTTAAAAAGAATAAACTGCAGCATGGTGGTGCAGACTTGTAATCCCAACAGCTCAGGCGGCTGGGGCAGGAGGATCACAATTTTGTTCAAAGCCAGCCTCAGCAAAAGCAAGTGCTAAGTAACTCAGTGAGACCCGGTTTCCAAATAAAATCCAAATAGGGGGCTGAAATGTGGGTAGTGGGGAGGCCCCTGAGTTCAATCCCTGGTGCCCACCCCCCACCAAAAATAAATAAATAAACTGGATGGCACCACTACTAATCCCACTTACTCCTAGGCTGAGATAAGAGGACTTCTTGAGCCCAGGAGTTCCTGGCAGCCTGAGCAAAACATTGAGACTCCACCTCTTAATACCTGAGTATTAAGTATTAAATTCCTTTATAGAGTAATTCATAAGTTTATTTGTTTTATAATGGGAAAGTTCATTTCAAAATAACTTTACCCTTGGTCCAAGCTACCTGAAATCATGGACAATAACTTCTCTGGAAAAGGACCTTCTCCTCATAAGTCTTTTCTGTCAGACTACGGGAGTTCAAAGTCATTCTCTCTTTCAATTACACCAAATACTGTATCTTTGTCACAATTACACAATACTGTATCTTTGTCACCCAGACTGTACACTCTATCATTTTGTTTACTTAACTCCCCCATCTAGCTCAGACTAATTAATATCTAAAATGGGATGCAAAGCCTAAAAACTCTCTCAAAAGGTACTGGTGAACCAGGCTTGGTGGCGCAGGCCTGTAATTCCAGCGACTCAGGAGGCTGAGATGGGAGGATCACAAATTCAAGGTTAGCTTCAGCAACTTAGCGAGGCCCTAAGCAAATTAAAGAGACCCTGTCTTAAAACAAAAAATAAAGGGAGAGGGGACTTGGGATTTAGTTCAGTGTCCCTGGCATAAACCCCAAATAAAAAAAAAAAAAAAGTAATGCTGATCAAAACCCCTAATGCAAATATCTCTCAATAATTTATCTTTTTATTGCTATTACTACTTAAAATAATTCCCTTTCATGATCGTGAAGTTTCCCCGACCAGAGAGTTGAGGATGCAGACTCCTTCCCGAGATAAATTCCTCCAACTCAACATCAGACACTTTAAGTTTCCTTTTAGGAAGGCATTTCGGGTGCCCGAAACTCCCCACATTCGGGAAAGAGGTGAACTCAAGGGAAAGAATGACTGCAGGGCGCCAGTGTTCACACAAAGGCCCAATGTGGCTCTCCCAAAAGCCCTGCGCAGCGGTGCCCAGCTCCGGAGCCTCGCCAGGCGCGGGCGGAGCTGAACCTGGCCCCTCGGTCGCAGCCCGCAGACAGTCGGCTGCCAGGCTCAGCCGGCAGAGGCACAGATGTGGCCTCTCCCGCGTCTTTCTTTTAAATCTCCCGCTAAATTCCCACCCCCGCCCCGCTCCGCTCACTGCTCCTCTGGCGCCGCAGCCTCCTCTCCGAAACTCTTCTCCATCAACAGCTCCAGTTCGTTTAGCTGCTCCATCCTCGGCTCGGGGACCGCATACAGCCACAAGGTAAAGCCCTGGGAACCAGAAGCCACCCTTAAATCTCCGAAGCTATAAAGAAGCGCGAATCTGCGCGGCGCCACGCGCATGCGCCGACCCGCCGAGGTCCCAAGTGACCTGCGCGGGGCCGCCCCTCGCGCGCCCGGGGCTTTCAAAGTGGAGTGCCTCAACTGGTGGACTCAGGCCTCTTGCATCTTTGCTCCCTAACTTAAGGCTTGGAAAAGTGTAAATCCTCATATCCAGCCAAGACTAAGTGCCCTGACCACGCTCTTGACACCCCAAGCCATGCCCAACTCTTGCTTTTCGTTTGAACAGAACCATTTAGAAATGGCCAAAACCAGGTGTCCCTGTTGGCTTTGGGAATTTTGCATTCATGGAGAAACAACTTCTCCTTTTTCAAATGAAAAATTCAGAGAAAAATAGAAACAATCAGATAGGAACTGACTCATCATGCCAAGACTGAATCCAAAAAACTGCTAATATCTGCCCGTCTCATAACCTCTTTCCACGTTTAATTAAAGTGTTCCTCCTGTCAATGGGCAATCATTTCACTTGAACTCAGAACCTCAAGGCCTCCAGCATTTTGAAGGATGCTACTTCATCAATTGTTTCCTCATTCTCTTTTACCATCAATCTTACCCTCGCTATTGGTTTGCTGCCATACTGTACTAACGTCCCATATATCTCCTTTTTGGGGGAGTGGGGGGTGCTGGAGAGTTAACCCAGGGGCGCTTAACCACTGAGCCACATCCACAGTCCTTTTTTGTGTTTTATTTAGAAACAGGGTCTCACTAAGTTACTTAGGGCCTCACTAAATTGCTGAGGCTGGCTTTGAACTCGCAATTCTCCTGCCTCAGCCTCACAAACTGCGGGGATTACAGGCTTGCGCCACCACGGTATTCTCCCATTTTAAAAAGCTGTTAACCTTGGCCAGGCACACACCTGTAATCCCAGCAATTTAGGAGGTTGAGGCAGGAGAATCTCAAGTTCCAGGCCAGCCTCAGCAATTTAGCAAGTTTGTCTCAAAATAAAAATAAAAAAAAGACTGGAGACGTGGTTCAGTGGTGGAGCCTCCTGTTTCAACCCCTAGAGCCAGAAAGAAAAAGAAAAAAGAAAAATTAATTGTCTTCAACTGGAGAGCTTAGCTCAGTGGTAGAACACAAACTTAGAACATGCTGAGGCCTTGGTTCCCAAGCACAATCCCTCCAATTTATAGGCATTAACTGTAGTCACTAAGCTGGAAATATAACGGTACTGGTTCCTTCCAGTCTTGCCTCCCTGATATTCATTCCTTTTTCCTCAATAGATTATAATGAAAATTCTAAAAGGTACAGAAAAGTTATAATTTTATAATAAACAGCCATAAACAATTATTATTTTTTCTGTCTTTGATTTGTCACATGTATATCTATTTATTCATCTCTCCATATCCATGAATTCAAGTTTAATGCATTTCAAAAGTGCAAACAACATTACATTTCATACCTAAATACTTTAGTGTAATTATGAACTAAAGTTCAATATTTGTTTATAGCTCTCTTTTTTTGTGATGCTGGAATTGTGCATTTGAGGCAAGCACTCTACCAACTGAGCTATAACCCTTCTTATGCCTTTTATGTAAATTTTAAACTTTATATAAAATACACAAATCTCATATGCACCATTTGATGAATTTTGACAAATACAAGTGTATAACCCAAATAGATAAGCAGTTCTCTTGTCTATACATCTCAAATTGCCATATCTTTATTAAGACATGTTATTATCATCCCAAAAAGTTCCCCCTTGCCAGTTCCCATGCCTATCCCTATGAAGAGGCAATCATTAAACTTATTATTATTCACCAGAAATTAAATCTGTCTATTCTAAAACTTCACATAAATGCAAGCACACCCTATGTACAGTATATACAATTCTTTGTCAGGCTTCTCAGCATGTTTTTGTTGTTCATTCATATTTTTAAAAATGAATCAGCAGCTTGATTCTTTTTATTGCTGAATTCAATGAATATACCACAATTTACTTGGTCAATATCCTGTAGGTGGACACTAGCACTGTAGTAGTTTACCAAGTTGAATAAAGTTGCTACTAATATTCCTATATAAGTTTTTTTATGGCCATAAACTCCTATTTCTCTTGGGTGAATATCTAGATCATGAATAAGTTTATAGTTATGATAATGAGAAACCGCTAGACTTTAACCAAAGTGATTATAACATTTTATATTACCAACAACGTATGAGAATCAGTTTCTCCATGTCCCATACAACATTTGATACTGTCAATCTTTTTAGTTTTAATTTACATTTCCCAATCACTAATCAGGTACTTTATCTTGTCCCTGGTCATTTGCATATATTCCAGGCGATTGCACTACCGCTTGAGCCACATCCCCAGGCCCTGCATATATTCCTTTGTAAACTATTCCTTTGTTTAAATCATTTGCTTATTTTTTAAAAATTGAATTGCCCTTTTATTATTGAGTTGCAGGACTACTTTATAAATTATGGCTACAAGCCTTTATCGTATACATTTTGCAAATAATTTCTCTTAGTCTATTGTTTGCCTATTCAGATTTTTTTCTTTTTCCTAGTACTGGTATTGAACCCAGGAATATTTTACCACTGAGATAAACCCCAAGCTCTTTTTATTTTCAACTTTGAAACAGGATCTTGCTAAGTTTCTGAGGGCTTTGCTAAATTGCTAAGGCTGGCCTCCAATTTTCAATTCCCCTGTCTCAGCCTCCAGAGTAGGTAAGATTAGAGGTATACACCACCACACCTAGTTGCCTATTTATATTCTTAACAAGGTATTTAGGCATTTGTATGCTTTTTTGGGAGGGTGCTGAGGATTGAACCCAGGGTCTCTTGTATGTGCACTCTACCACTAGGACACACCCTCAGCCTCCTGGTTTTATTTTTTCCTTATGTATTCTTATTTATCCATTTTTCTTCTATGCTTTTTGTTTTTTGTGACATAAAACATTTTTGCCAAACCCTGAATAATAAGTTGTTGTTCTCTTTCTTTTTTGGGGGGGGGGGCGTGTAAGGGAGGGGAGCTGCTTATCTATTTTTTTCTTTCTTTTTGGTGCATCTGCAATAGTATATGCTTTATTGCCAAATATTAATTCACTGTCAACTGTTTTCTTTTCTGCTTGAAGCTTTTTATTTGTTTATACATCCCAAATTACCAAGGACAGTAGCATATGCCTGTAATTACAGCAACTCAGGAGGCTGGGGCAAGAGGATCCCAAGTTTAAGTTCAGCCTGGGCTATATATCAAGACTCTGTGTCAAAATAAAAAATAAAAAGAACTAGAGGACGGGCGCAGTGGCACACGCCTGTAATCCCAGAGCCTGGAGAGCTGTGACAGAAGGATCACGAGTTCAAAGCCAGCTTCAGCAAACTGTAAGGCTGCTAAGCAACTCAACTCTGTCTCTAAATAAAATACAAAAAAGGGCTGGGGATGTGGTTCAGTGGTCAAGTGCCCCCAAGTTCAATCCCCAGTACCCCCCCACACTAAAAAAGAACCCTCCTGATTCAATTCTTAGCATACCCTCTGCCTCAAATACATCTCAGGCTATTTTTTTTTTCTTTTTTCTTATTATTTTATGGTACTGGGAATTTAACCCAGGAGTATTCTACCACTAAGCCACATCCCCAGCCCTTTTTCTTTTTTGAGACAGGATCTTGCTGAGTTACTTAGGGCCTCACTAAATTTCTGAGGCTGGCTTTGAACTTATGATCCTCTTGCCTCAGCCTCCCAAACTACTGGGATTACAGGCATGCACCACTGTGCTTGGCTCCTTCTTTGTTTCTCTTTTTTATTTTAAAGAAGGAAACGTTTCTTTTGACTCAGAATTCCAGAGGCTTCAATTCTTGCGGCTGCTTTAGGTCTGGGGTGAGGCAGAATATCATGGCAGAAGGGAGGGGAGAAAGAAAGCTGCTCAGTTCATGGATTCTAAGAAACAGAGAAGGAGGGGGAGAAGCTGAGGACAAAATGTAGTCCCACAAATTTGTCCCCAGTGACCTACTTCCTCTAATTAGACCCCACCTGCTACAGTTTCCACCTCCTCCCAACATTTGATTCAAATTATTAATTCATCAAATGGGTTAACCCACTGATGAGGTTAGAGCCCTCATGATCCAATTCTTTCCCAACAGCTCTACCTCTGTCATTGCTGCATCCAGGACCACATCTTCAACACATGCATTTTGGGAGACATTCCAGATCCAAACTATAACATAGATGCTCTATGTAAAAATAAAATTTGGCTATAAAATAAGTTCAAAAGCACAGCAAAACTATGCAGGGATGATATATAAAGTTCAGAGGAATCTAGAATTTTTATCACAATATGTACCAAATTTACCTGACCACAAAATATTCTCTTCCCTTTATCTTTTTACCACATTATTGTCATTCTGTAGAACAAAATTTAAGGAGATTCTTTCTTTAAAATTTTAATATTTCCAAGTTTTTAATATTTTAATTATATTTTGATAAGTAGGCAATTTTGTTTGAAGGTTCCATGTTCTTATTTTATTTTGAGACTAGATGTGGTCTCTCCCTCCCACTCCTAGGCTCGAGAGCCTTCCCCTCAGACTCCCAAGTAGTTGGGACTGCAGGTTCATACCAATGTGACCAGCAATTACTGCATCTATTTAAGAATCATGTTTTTTTCTCCTTCATTCTGTTATTATGGGAAATTACACCGTTGGTTTCTGAATGTTAAAAAAATTTTGCATTTCCAGAGTAAACCCAAATTGGTAATGGCTTTTTATGTATCACTAGACTTGAATTGCTAATACATTGGTAAGAATATTTCCATCAAGCTATGCATGATGGTACACTCCTGTAATCAGTTACTCAGGAAGATGGCAAATTTAAGATCAGCCTCAGCAATTTAGTGATACCCTCAGTAACTTAGTTAGATAAAGAGCTAAGGCTGTGCATGGTGGTGCACAAGTATAATTGCAGTGGCTCCAGAGGCCGAGGCAGGAAGATCACAAGTTCAAAGCCAGCCTCAGCAACTTAGCAAGGTTCCTAGCAACTTAGGGAGACCCTGTCTGTAAATAAAATTCAAAAAGGGCTG